GTTTGGCTCCTCCAAAAGAAGTTTGAGTCAGCAGCCGTGAAAATGAACTGACGGACTGCGCCCTCCAATCAACTACAGTTACACATGTTTCCTTGGGAGATTAGCCAGAGGAGTTTCTAAGGCTCATGAATGCCCAGTTGTTCAGCAACGATTCAGCAAAGAATGGCTCTAACTCAAAGAGGCCCGGGGAAAACATGGAGAAACTTACTGTGGTAAATCGCACTCTTGCTATGTTGGAAGATGTTGGAAGATCACCTGGCAGGAAATTCGTTGCCTCTGCGGATCGTTCTTGACGCTGTGCTGCTACTGTTCGAGGCGAAATTGTCGGGTGATCGTCGCAGCAAGTTTGAAGATCTCCGCAAAGCGTGGCTTGAAGGGGCACCCCGAAACCAAAATTCAAAAGGACTCTTTACATCTCTTTACATCTCTTTACATCTCTTTACATCTCTTTACATCTCTCTACATCTCTCTACATCTCTTTACATCTCTTTACATCTCTTTACATCTCTTTACCACTTGCCTCGATTCTTTATCACGTGCAAACAGTTGCCAAGACATTCTGACTAAAAGGAGACTTTCAGTTTAGGATCTGACTACAATTGCACTGAAATCCCTGTGACAGAAAGCAAACGGCGAAGTTTCTTATTGGTTTCAGACTTCAGACTGCATCCTGTGCAATAGGCAGAATGTACAGCCCGTCACGAAGGACTCATTTGATACCAGATGCATGAGTCAATGATATGTTGGTCTATTCTCATGCCAGGGGAGCACAATGCGTTGTCATGAGTTAGTTGCACCCCAAAGGGCCAGCCCTTTAGAGATTTGGCCATATTTTTCTGCCCAGCTTTCTGCTCAGAGTCCAAGTGACACTGAACAGCCAGTGTCCTGATCAAAATCAAGATATCTAAACCATAGCCTAATCATAAGCATCCAAATATGACCCGCTGGTCGTTTCCTTTCAGACAGTCTTTCTAGGTATGTTGGATTTTCTGCTTCAAACATATCCCATCTATCAATCTGCCTAGCTGCTGACACTAACATGGTCAATGTGCAAAACTCTGCTATACTGCCTCTTTCAGAGGCCGCATAGACAGTGCTTTGCAAGTTCAAGAAGTTGACACGGCCAAGAATGCAAAGAGCTCCTGCTGTTGCAATTGACATCCATTACTTTGTTTAATTGCAAGTGATTTGAAGCTTTCAAATGTGCCAGTCACCAGTCCAGACTAGGCAGGAGGCACGTGTGCTGAGTTCCAGCACATGTCCAGCATGAATTGCGATCAGACCAGGTTTTGTGTCAAAGATGCCCTTGCCGTCTTCGTTACAACCACCTCATCCTGGCACGTGCAAGTCCCAAGCTGCTCCTTCAACTTCGAAACGGACAACATTTCCAGGCACCAAAATTGAAGGGTTCCGACTGAAAACCTGGCACCAAGCCTATCATCTTCACCTTCAATTTTTGAGCTTGAATTGCTTGAATCAAACACTCGGTTGCACTGTGAGGTAGTGAAACCCCACCCACCCTCCAGGAGCAACTTTTCCAAAGTTTGCTGTCGAATCTGATGGGTCACGCCACCAGCTGTGCTCAGGGTCATAGATGATGGAGCTGACTGGACAGCTCAAATTTCTACAAGCTGCGCCAGCTCAACCCCTCCCCATCCACTTTTGGGACAGGGCGGGTGGGAAAATTCTGAGAGGCTTCAAGACCTTCCTTAGTGGGTCTTGAGCCAAAATGGCATGGCCACCACCCATGCCTCAGTCGAAACCTATGGTTTCTCTCAAACACTCGGTTGCACTGTGAGGTAGTGAAACCCCACCCACCCTCCAGGAGCAACTTTTCCAAAGTTTGCTGTCGAATCTGATGGGTCACGCCACCAGCTGTGCTCGGGGTCATAGATGATGGAGCTGACTGGACAGCTCAAATTTCTACAAGCTGCGCCAGCTCAACCCCTCCTTTGACTCCGTCGCGCAGTGAGTGTAGCCCCTTGCACTTTTGACAGCAGTTGATGTGAAGCTCCTTGAACCGGGTGAGTTCCACTCTCGCGTTGTTGCGGGCAAAGTGCCACCCGCAGATGGTGGTCCATTCTGCTATGGGCATGCCCCAGGAAGCTTTGCCAACACGATGAGCAACTTTGCCTCTTGAGCTGATTGAGATCGCCCACAAGGGCTTCTTGTTTGCCCCTTGCGATTTAATTTCCGGGCCCTTCACCACTAATGGCGGATCCTCTTCGTCCACATTCACCACTGTTGTGGCTGGTTCGATTTTCCTTTCCTTCTTCACCGACTCATTGATGGGGAGTTCAGCCATCGCTTCCTCCATGTATCTGAACACCGCCGCGCTCTTCCATCGGCCTAGAAACATGAGGTCTGCTAAACTCCACCTTTCTCTCGTGTAGAACATGGCTCCGGATCTCCGAGCAGAGTGCCCTGACATGGTTTCGTCGACGTGGTTCACCCACGACTTCACTAATTGAAATCGTGAGATTCTGCAGCCCACTCCATCCGCGATCAACGGGTCCTCATCATTTGGCCCTGCCATATAGTTTTTCACTCTGACAGAGATCCTCCACGGACACGTTGATTTGCAAGGTCTGTGGCCGCAACAAGTGAGGGTCCGCTTTACTCCTCGCTTGCCCTGGTCCATCTTGGATTTTGGGATGAGCAAGGATACCTTCTTATCCGTTGGGTCCAAGTCCAGGTGGCCGCTGTCCAAACCAACCACCTCCCCACTCCTAAGCATCCACACTGCTGCAAAGACGTAGGACATCTTGGGGAAGGCTGGAGCTCCTTCACCTTGCTTGTCCACTTCCTTGGGATCTTCTACAGAAATTCCTTCGGGTTTCACCTCCTTGGCTCGTTTGTCCGGGCCAACATCTCTTCTCAGAGCTCTTTTCACCATGGCCAGTTGCCTCTCCAAAACTTCATCCCACGCCCAGCCGGCCTCCAGCTGCATGAGCTTTACCTCGTTGATGTATTGTTCGCCCGCTTTGAGATCTGCTTCACTCAGAACGGCTCCCACCAATTCCAGTTCCTCCGAGCCCAGCGGGAAGAAATCTTTCTCGCCCTTCACCTTCAGCAGAATGTCACAAAGCCTTTTCCTCTTGGAAGCTCTGCTGGCCAGTGTGGATTTTGCAAACATCTTTCCTCTCAAGTTTGCTACAGCCTTCCTCTTCCAATCTTTCGAGGACAAGAGGTTTGTCATCCCTTGCCAGTTCACTCTCCTCTTCCGGGCACTTTGGGGCTTACCGCCTCGAGCATCCTTGACACCACCTGCGTGTTCCCTCGCCGGGCATGCCTCTCCCTGTGACTTTCGGGACTCCTTGGGCTCTCTGCCCTTTCCGCCTCCTTTACCTTCTTTCTGGCCGCTGATGCCCTTGGGCTGATAGACCTGCGTCTGCTGGGTTCCGCCACCCAACTTTCTGCTAGACCATGGCAACCATCCCCTCTGGCCCCCTTCCTTTTCTCGGTTTTGTCCTCTGACCATGGCCTCTGTGGGGGATAGTAACACCCCTTCCTGTCGCCCAAGGTGAACTGTGCCTCCAAACGGTTGTGGAGTTTGGCCCACCCCATTGAGCCCCACGTCCACACCATTTTCGCTTTGCTCCTGACGCCCATCCACGCCTTTTGGCAAAGCCGCGGCAGCCATTGCCCATACCACGCTCCAGCCAGGAACCCGAGGACCACCGTGCCCAGCCATAGTTTCAAAATCCATAAGGACCCTGTCTGAGGCTCCTTTGTCTCCGTGATGGCTAGGGAACCTTGCAAGGCCAGCGCCATGTCCTCGGTTTGAGCCCTGGTCCAAAAACGGCTGCGGATGTAAACATGCATGCACAACGAAACAGACAACAAAACGCACAGAAATCAACCCTCAAATTTTCAACTTTTCGCGCATGAAGATTCACCCCTTTTGTTCTCTGAGCCTTCATGACACCTCCGTTTTCGGGGTCTCACTCGGTGTCCCCTCCAATGAAGGTGTCTGCAGGCTGTTCGTCCCCGGCCCAACTACCTTGGCCCTCCCCTCCAGGAGGTGCGAGCGAGAACAACTCCTTGCACGTAAAACACGGTGCAAGGCGAAAAATCTTCACTCCTTCCAGGGACTTTGGCTTGTCGCCCCGATCATGCATGCGACTCAGCCAGTCCGTCTCCTTGTTGTCTGCCCCCCGCAAGTGCTGCACGACCACTCGCTGGATTCGGTGGAGCTCCAACATGAGGGAGATCTCTGCCGCCAGGTAGTTCAGCTGCGGCGACGGGCTTCCCGTCTTCTTGGTGACTCCCAGAGCTACCGTCGAGTCGCTCCGGAGCAAGATCGGCCTGCCCTTGAAGTTCGCCGCCCACTTGTGCAGGCCTCGCAGCACCGCGAGGGTTTCCACCACGCTCTGCGACGAAGCTTCTCCATGCGCCACATTCAGCAGCTTTGCATCTTCCTCTTTGAACTCTGCCTCGAATGCCTCCACTATCTCATACCTTTCTCCATCCAGCGACAGCCTTATCAGGATTCCGCCCAAGCCTAACGGGCTCGCATCCGTCACCAAGCCATACTGGATCTTCTTTTCCACGAAGGGCTCTGAGCGGAAGAGGAGGATGTCCTTGCGCTGCATCAGTCGGCTCACCCAATCGACCGGGTTCTTCAACCTCTTGAACGGGATCAGCCCCTTCTTGGGTCTTGTGTCGGCTCGCTGCGCAACCCGTTTCTCCTCCAGGCCCTCTTCCTCATCCCGCTGCACTGCCGCCATGGTGCTGTAGAGGGCGTTGACCACCCATTTCACTCTTGGCACCACGCCCGCCACCCAGCTGAGTTTGCCCGTGATTCTTCTGACCTCTCTGATGGGGATCATTCCCATATTGGGCCACTTTTTCAGCTCCGTCTCAATCTCCTCTAGCATCTTTGACTGGATCCCAATCATGAGCTCCTTCTCCCTCAACTCAAGGGTTGTCCCAATCCATTTCACCCTTGACCCTCTCTCGCCCTTCTCCAGCGCTATCTGCACCCCCATGGTCTGAAGGACGTAGAGGACCATCGCCAGGATGTGATTCCTGTGTCTCAGAGGGCCCCGGAGCACCAGTATGATGTCATCCATGTAGATCTGGGTGCTCATCTCAGCCGGCGACACCATGGATTGCAGCAGCCTTCCAATGCCAGCTGCCAGCCTTCCCATATGCAACGGTGCCGCTTTGTAACCAAACAGCATAGCCGGCCACAGCAGAGCTCCCTTTTCCTCCTCATCCGGAGTGACCGAATGCTTCCACTCTTTTGGGTCCACTGCCAGGTGGCAGAAGGCATCTCTGAGGTCTATCATGGCGAACTCTATCTCGTCCCATCCAACCCTGCCTTCTTCACCGACCTCCTGTACAGTATCTCCTTCAGGTCATCTGACCTTTCCACCATACCTCTGATGCCCCCCACCAAATCCTGGATTCTTGGCAGGGTGATCCTCTCGTTGACCCTGCACCTTGCGTTGCCCTGCGACCGCTTCATGTCGATCACGATTCTTCTCTTCTTGCTGCCATCCGGGCGTTCCTTGACTATCAAAGCCATCTTCGAGCAAGTCCCGGAGCCGAACGTCTTCTCGACTTCGTCCCATGACTTTCGCACGGCAAAACCCTTGTCCAAGTACCGCTTTATCTCGATTCGGGCGTCCTCCAAGTTCTCCGACACGCTCCTGTAGTTGGAGGTCTCTTTCAACACCGCAAACTCCACCTCTGGTATTTCCTCCGGTTCACGTGCGCCCAGGATCTTGGGAAAGACGCCGCCCGAGTCCGGTATCTCCAATTCCATTCCCATGGGGACCCCATTCTTGATGTGCTTTGGCAGGTGGACATCTGGGTCTTTGCTTCTCCTTTGCCACTCCTTCCACAGTTCATAGTTCAGCGGGGAGGTGAACTCATCTTGTTGTTTCAGTGTCACCTCCCTGTCCTCCTCTCTAAGGTTCCAGAGTTTCACCACTCTGGTCTCCCATTCCTCCAACCTGCCCTGCAAGAACTTTGCCTCTTCCGAACCGTAGGCCACCGCTACATCAACGATGTCCCACTCCTCCAACTCGAAGGCGTTCCATTCCCTCCTGAGCTGATCGCCAACTTCCCGTACTCTGTGGAGTCTTGCCACTGCCTTGGACGGGTTTCTCATTCCCCCGATCGCCACCTCGTTGAGGATCTCCTTCACCTCCTTGTTTGAAGCTCTCCTCGATGACGAAGGGATGTATTCCTTCTCTTCCGTCTCTGCTGCCAGAGCTCTGGTGAGGGAGTTTGTGAACTTCTTCATGGACTCCCTTGTCTCCCGCGGTTTGTCGACGCGCTTCTCCTCATTGATCAGCCACTTGTGTTGCATTTCAGAAACCGCCTTCTCCTGCTGCGTCACTTGGTGTCGCCAGAATTCCAGCTTGATGATCCTCTTCCACCCTGCCAAGATGAGCTTTGCCACGGCTTCGCATAGGTCCTCTGGATACCTGCCTGCCCTCTCCGTCTTGGCCTTGCCCACCAGCGGTTCATGCATGATCCATGCTGGACACCGACAAACCCTGCTGAGTGACGGCAGACCCTCCAATTTGCCAGCCCACATCGCCGGCTTATAGTGTCTTACCTTGGCCCTTGGTTGGTAGGCGCACGTGTTGAAGGGCACCTTGCATGCCCCGACCTTCTCCAGGGACTGCTTTATCTCCGGAAGCTCCCAAGCCGGCCCACACCTCTCATCACCTGGAGGGTTTTCAAGTGTTGCTGCCGACGGTACTCTTCTTTCCTGGTCTGCTTCCACCTGCGCCTCGATGAGCCACCCGCTTCTTGCCGCCAACATAGTGCCACGGTCTGCTTCTGCTTGGCGTTCAGCGGGATTCGTGCTGAGGCCATAGATCTCCTCCGTCGACCTGACAGGCGGTGGCCCTGGGTTTTTCGACCACCTTGCCATCGAAAAGGACCCGCACGGAAAACCTGCATGCAGACCATCATACTCTCCTTCTCTAACTTCCTTGCACAGTCTTCTATGTTGTTCTGCATCGCTCATGTCCACCCGTTTGTCCAGCTGTCTGTCCAGTGAAGTGACTTCGCACTTCAACCGTTCCTTCGCCGCCTCGGTCTTTATCGCCGCAGCTAGGACGTCTTCTGGGCCTGAGAAAACGTGCAAGAACTTGAAGACTCTTTTGTTTCTGAATTCTTCAAAGGAGTTGGAGTCCAACAGTGCCTTCATTACCCTGTCTGGTATCTTCGCCTCAGCAGGCCCTTCCTTGTCTTCTTTTGGCACGACCTTCTCCTCTTGCACCTTTGTGGCGTCGGCTCCATGATGCTGCGTCTTCAGCTTCTTTGCCTCGGGCTCTGGGGGACTCGCTTCAGCATGTCCCGGGTCTTCCTCACCGCCCCAGTCCACTCCGAGCTCGCCCCCCTCCGTCATGCTTGAGCCATGCAATCAAAACAAACTATAATTCAAGTGCACCACAATTTTAAAACAAAACACAACAAACCCCCCAAACCAAGCAGCAGTTCAAAAACGAAAGAAGTCAGGTTTCCCAAGGTCATGCTTTGCAGTCCTTGTCTTGGTGAGACGGGCTCAAACACTTTCGGCACTTGTGTGCTCGTTTTATCGAGCCCTTGCATTCACCTCCCGGTGGAACGTTGGCACAGCTGCCTTGGTTTGCTGCCCAGCTAAAGCAGATAGGGGCTCCGCTCTGGTCCTTGCTCTTGGATTTTCCCTTTCCTTTCGGTTGGAAGTTGCTTCTGTCAGATGCTTTCTCATTGGCCGCCTTGAGGTGCTTTAACTCCTGAAGATCAGCCTGAACTTTGCGACGTTTTCTGATCCTCTTCTCACGCTTTGCCTCTCTTGAGACGGCTGGTCTGTCATCCTCCGAATCTTCTCTCAACCCCGGGAACTGCGATGTCACTGCTGCCTCACCAGCCACCACAGGGACTCCTCTGCCTCCAGAAGCAAGCCACGCCGCGGCTGGAATGTGGACCTTCTCTGACCAGTACTTCTCATCCCCAATCAGGGAGTGAAAAATGCAAGACCAAGGATCATTTGCATCCCAGTCTCCAGGTATTTGACGGCCCCTACTTTGTTCTAATGTCCAATGCCTGCGCCACTTCTCCAGTTTCTCTGCTCTTGCGGTGTCATCCGCACTGTAGATCAAGCCCCAGCATTGAGGCCACTGCGTCACCAGCCTTTCAACGTGCCTGTAATAGGCTTCCAACGCCGCCAAGCTGCAGATCTTCAGCATGATCGCTGCCGCCCTGAAGACCCTCCAGCTCGATGACCACGCCATGAAGTTTCCGGGCCCTGGTAAATCCCTTTGTAGGAATTGTCCATTTCCCAAGGGTGTGAACACTCTGAACCTATGGGTCTTTGAAGCTCTCCTCTCAAACGGTGACCACACGGCAAAATCCACGTATGGCGCCGCCAGCAACTTCACCACCCGCTTGTTAAGAGCTGCAAGTTGGTTTGGTGTCGGTTCTTCGACATCATCTGGCATCGCTCCCATCACCAACACAAAGTTCTGTGTCCACGTATGCACCTCCTCCATTGTTGGAGGCATCAGCTCCGACTCGTCACTTTGGTCCACCAGTGCTGCCATCTTAAGTACATGTTCTTTGACTCCCGAAGCTGCCGGCTTAGCCACTGGTGGAAGTGCCCCCGATACCGTAGGAGCCCACGGGTCAACATCCACGAACTGTGCCTCGTCCATGCCTGACGTCATTGCAAGGACTCTCCTCGCCGTTCGCCAAGCCAGCCCCACTTGGGTCGCCTCAACTGGGTTGAGTGCATCGCCATTGGCTTTCACAGCCTGTCCAACTGCGGCCACAACTGCCACTGCTGGCAGAGAGGCCAAGATCCTCAAGTCATCGCCAAGGGGACCGATGTGTCGTAGCCAGCCTTCCCAAGCCTCATCGCTAAGTCCCACATTGCTCAGGACATCGCTAACGGTGCGGAATTCCCCCAACGTGCTCCATTGCTGGAACATGGGCGACCCGCGAACCTCTCAGATCCAAAATTCTGAGAGGCTTCAAGACCTTCCTTAGTGGGTCTTGAGCCAAAATGGCATGGCCACCACCCATGCCTCACTGCTTACCTTCTGTGTTTGTCGAAACCTATGGTTTCTCTCACAAAATTGAGGGCCCATTCAATAGGTTTCCCATGGGAAACCCCATGCCAGTTCCACAAATTTGAAGTTGTGGACGGTCAAACAGCCGGCAGGACCAGAAGCTGGCCATGCTTGGAATCGATCAGTTCAAAATGCAACGCCGATGTTTTCACATTCAAACGTCCCACGGAATAGACATCGGTTGCGTACCTTGGCCCCAAAGGGACGAGAGAAGGGACAATGGCAGAGCTGTTGCTATTTCGGAATATTTCGGATTCAAAGATGGAAACATGGATGTCCACACAGGTTCCTGAAGTCTAGCAGTGCATGTCTTCTGACTGCGTGGATGTCTGGCAAACGTTGAGTTTGACACAATTGTTTTGTACACTCCAATAGGAGCACGCTGGTCCAGCTACAGGCACAAACCAAGTGTAATTAGCATCCTTCCCGCAAGTTTTCTGATCCATCGACCTTGAGTCGAGTTGCACTGGGTTGAGTTGCGAGGTCTTCGCTGGGTCTTCATCTGGAGTCTGCTCGCTGCGGACACAAGTTCCCTCACCTGCGAGCAGGAACACAAATGCTGCGTCGCCTATGTCATATGTCCATGTTCAGGTCTGGCATTGAAAATGATGGCATCATTGGGCATCTCAGTTTTAGCCATGCCATGATTTGTACTTCGTCATACCCAGCCATTACCTTGCAAAACCACAGCAAGAGATTGAGTGCCACAATTTGCCTGCAGGGCATTGTGGTGCAACCTTAAAGGCCATTTCCTCAGTTATCAAAAGCCATTCATGATATTCATGCAGAGGTGCAAGCCACAGGCTTTTTTCTAGACCACAAATATCCACAAATATGGGGATGGGTCAAAACCCTGGTACCTAGTGAACCCCAAAATAGCTGGTAAATGGATGTTCATCCCACTAAAAATGTATCTATAGGTATTGACCCATACCCATATAATGCTCACCGTTCGGCGGATTCTGGTCACCTGCTACTGGTTGACATCTGGTTGAATCCGTGGGGATCGTCCAGACGGGTGAAACAGGAAATCCAAGCTGCATCGCAACCTGCACCACCGGCCACGACTTGGATGTAGCCCTTGGGGTCCTGACCGTGGACCGTGCTTAAATCGAGCTGATACCATTGATCATCTTTCACTAATCTTTCACCATCGACCATCTTCCGGAGTTTCTTTGTAGAAACTGCTGCAAGCACCAGCAACTCTGCAGGTCTAGCTGGAGCACATTCACAGAAAGGATTCTCATAGAGATTAAGCAGAAAGTAATATAAGTAAACAATAAGCCACAATAAGCCACAAAACCCAAGCCACGGCAACCCTCTTCTATCCATCGTCCATAACTTTGCCCAATGATCCGCCAGTGGATTCAGCAGGGCCTTGTAGAATTTTGCGGATGCATTGACATCGGCTGATGGAGGATCACGCCAATACCTGCGGGCTGGAAACATTCCGGAAGTGACCTGGAAGTGACCCTGTGAATGTGAAATGCACCAGCTGCGATATTACCATATACCATCATAAGACCGACAAAACATGGGATGCGAAATGATGCAAGTCAAACCGACGGGTGTCTGTACCAACCCCTTTGGCAGGTCAGGGGTCAGCAAGAAGAGGCGAAGAGGCTTTGCGAGGCTTTGCGTCGACCACTTTTCTCAGATTCCGATCATTGAACAAGAGGCTGAACTAATGATCATTGATCGTTGAGTAGACATTTTGAGAACAAATGGCAGTGGATGAATGTTGGATCGCAGAAAAATCTCCACAAAATCCAGCGCAACTGATAAAAAGGTGCTTGTGAGCATGGCCAGCAAAGTAGAGGTCAACCTTGTACTTCCTGAGCTTGAGTTGAGGTGTATTGATGTGTATTGGGATTTGACTTCTCATGCTGCTGAGATGAAAACTACGTCTGGAGATGTCTGGAGTACATTAGTACATAGCGAGTGTGAAGGCTATGCAAATAAGAGATAATAAGAGGTTCAGTCAGTTGATAACATTGAAATCGCCATCTGCATTGCACCTGCACATCCTGTACTTTCTTGATTTCATGTAGCGTTTCATGACAGCTTCGCCACCAAGCAGCTCGAGCAACTCAATCATCCCCGAGTGACTAAGCCGCATCTCAGAGGGGGCTGTTTTTCATGTGACGGAGTTTCTGTCAAGTGCACAATTGACAAACCTGAATCCAAATATAGGGCCAGGACACTCGAAATCCTGATCTTGAAGCTTCTTGAATGAACTTACTGACTTGACAGCCATGGCAATAACAAGCAGTAGCTTATAGTGGCCGCCAAATTCTACTTTGATCATCACAACCAAGAAACCAGGGGACGATGTCCTCCAGCAATGATCCACTTCTTTCCAGCATCCCTGGCAGCCTTCAAATCAGCCTCTAGCCATCGGAGATATTCTCCTCGCCACAGCGATGCTACAGCAGGTCACAGGGCGGTTTATGGGTCCGGCCTTCAGCACCAAAGCCGCCTGCCTTCAGCCAAGAAAAGTGACCATCACCTGGAAAAGCGACATGGAGCAACCATGTCACACACATTTCGGAAAGAAAGAAGAAACCGTGAATGATCCCATGCCTCGGATTGTTTACGTTCTACTCTAGTGTGACATGCTTAGGAGATCTTGTGCCACAAGAGAAAAGAGAATGGGCAGCAAAGCATGGAATCACCTCCACCTCTTCTGGACGCATCTAGCCTTGCCGAACACCCCCGGCACCTGTTTTGGCTTCCTCTGCCCCAGGAAAGTCCGTCTCGGTGTTCAAAGATACAAAGTGAACCGGGCCAACCTTGCCAATGACAGCACTGCCGTCCCAAACTGCACAGACCAGATCCTCATGATCTTGGGCTACACTGTCTACACTGCACAAAGGCTATGGTCATGATCTCATCATGCTTTCGGCTGGGTGGCGTTGAAGCTGTACCACATGTTGGCGCGCCCAGCACAGCTGCTGGAAGGCATATGCCAACGATGGTTGAACCTCGAAAGTGCCGGGAATCGAAACTCTAGGTTGACCCCACATCATCCTCTAGGCTAGATCTAGTTGTATCCCAAAATTCTGGCAATTATCACTACAACAGTCCAGGCTTAATGACAGTCAGCCAATTGGTTTTGTCCAAGACTGGTGGATTTTCTCCGAATCTATGGGCATTTGAATAATGAACATGATCTTCTCCACCATCAAAGTTGCTTCGTTTCTCCCATCACTTTTCACATTTAGTGGATTTTCCCCATAATTCTCCCATGTTTTTCTGCCAAACCCAAGTGGTTTCTTGTTGAAATTCACTGCAGGGCACGCGGTGAAGTTCATCAGAGCACGACCCAGGAATGGATCCACCACCTGGGGGAAGCCCATCGAAACAACATCGTCCACACCACAGAAATCAATTGTGATAGAACACCATCAAGTTAAATAAAAATATGATGGTCATTTTTTGTGGTGTAGAATATCTATGATCATCATCTATATTCGATTGTCATTGTCACGGTACATAGAATATACATGTTCTTTATCAATAACATGTTCGTTATAATATAGATATATTATCTGTTTATATATATATATATATGTATGTGTACAAACATGTGACTGTTTCTATGTGCCATAGTCAAAACATGGTATATCTGCTACGGTCATCCATCCCATAATTGGAATCCTTACAATTGGTTTATAAATCCCTATCAATGGATTGACGATCATCCCCGAATAGAGGGAATAAAACTTGTTTTGACTATGGCACATATAATAAATGACTGTATATGATACACGATATATTATCATGTTTTATCATATCTATATATATACATACATATGATTATGTGTCATCTCTGATATCTGTATTTCTGATTATGTAGACAGATGTGCATGTACACTGTGTATAATATTAATGATTATCTATAATATATTCATGTGTATTCAATCATGTTCATACATTATGTTGCTCCTTTGCATTATTGGGAACTCAAATGATCCATGAGTCACGCACTTTTTGCACTTCACGTTGTCCGTGAGACGAGGCTATTTCACCAACGCTCAGTCAGTGAGATATAGCTGCAACGTCAATCTGGTGGGGAGCATGGGATCTGTCACGATCAAGTCTTCGCCTTCCGTGAAGACAGGTGGATCAGCCTGTGTCAATTCCTTCAGGCTCATCTGGAGCTTGTACCTCGACTCACTGCGAAACCACTTTCAATCGGGGTGAAGTGCTCTAAACTTCTACAAATGCGACAGGTTCATTGAGACTCTTGGCCTTTTGAAACATCCTTGCCCATCATCCAGGGTATGGAACTTGACATCATGCAGCTTATTACACCAAAAGTGCTCACAATTTTCAGCAAAGATAGTACTCTGCAAGGATTCATGTCCATCATTGTCACTCTCCTTGAATCCCACACTAGCACCCACGTGTCGCCATGAAGCTCGTGTTGTTCGCGAATCGCCTTTGGATTCTGCATAAAGACAATGCCACTAGTGCTTGACACCGAAGGTCTTGACAGCTGGTAGCTGGGATGAGCACCTCATCGGAAACCAGGTGTGGAAGAACGCTATGTATATGTCTATATACATTATTCATCATGATATCACATTGTATCTTTTATGCTATGTATTGCTATATACATATATATATATATATAATGTATATATTTATACAATTATATTATATATATATGTGTATATGAGATATGATATATTTGGGCAGGACTGCCTCTTCATCAACGGTTCAAGTTTATCCAAAGTCCCGATCCTACCGAGACGTGCAAACGTGTTTCACACATGGACTTGCAGCGCCAAATTCGACTGAAGGACGACAAGGATCAATGGGGCCACTTGCTAAGGTAATTCAAAGATGTTCAAAGCGCTGGTAAGAGATAACTTGTTGCAAGAGAATCAAGATTGTTCACGATGTTCGTCTCTCCAAGAGAAAGGTACAGAGTACAGAAATGTGTGTGTGTATGTGTATATATATATATATGTATATGTATGTGACGTGTCACAATATCGGAACAATAGAGCGAAACCACAAGCTTCTCACGGTCTTGCTACTATGAGCTGCTCTTGTTGACATCAAGGTCTTTTTTTTAAAGGCATGCCATGGCATGTCCATCTTCTAACCCTTTGCTTCACAAAGATCTGCCACAGACTAGGCACCGAGATGTTCCAAGAGCTCTTGGAGTGTTGAGTTCCTGGAGGCGCTGTCTGTCAGTCGATGACTGGAAACATGCACAGATGACCCAGAAATTCACACCCTCAATTGTGAAGCAAAAACTCTCAAAAACCTCTACCAGGATCATGTAAAAGATTAAGCAGTACAAATATGTACAAACTAGGTAGATAATGGAATTGGTGATCTTCCCTTTGCCTCTTCCCGAAGTTCAAGCTTAAAACTTCGCAATTGAACTGCAAGGCTCTTGGGACGATTCAGCGTCAGCTTCGCTCCACCACAGACCATGCAGTCATCCTTCTTTTGATATGGGAAGGTATGTGTGTACACACCTGCCGCAGTGCGCAGAGTCCAAACATACCAAGTTTGCTATGAGACTCTGGACTCTATGCTATACTCCAAGACACTCCAAGTGTAGCCATCTATGGACCTACTTCATGCTTCATCCAGGGACAAAGTCTTTCAATGGCATCTCCATCCCCATCTATACAGTAAGAAGATCGCTTCAAAAGACCAGAGTGCGTGCCTTGTTGACCCATGTACATCATGTAGTTGTTCAGCACTGGCCCACAGTATGTCGCAATTTTCAAGGCTTCTACCACCAGTGCTGCCGCAATCAGTGCATTTGTGGAGGCAATGGCCGGAATGATGCGTTTCACCTTAATCGGATGGATCGAGTGGCTGGGCGATGCAAGTCATAACATGACGATTGTCTGAACAATTGATGCTGTGCGTAGCTGCCTGGATTCTACAGCTATTGAAGTCGAGCTGCCACACCCATGGTCAGTTGATAGGTCACGCCCGGAATGCCGAAGGTGGCTGCACGATCCTGTTCCATATACATCAGCTGTGCTGCTATGTTGTTAATGCCGAAAATATCCTAAAATACCGAAATACTGGTCAGGTATTAGAAAGAAAAAAATTGCTTTACATATCTTAGCATAGTAGCAAAAGACTTCAAAACGACCCCAAACTTGGACATGTCGAAAGCTGTGGAAATCCTCGGCTTGCCCCGGCACCTTCGCTTGTTCGAAGACCCACTGCATGTCGGCAGGCGAATCCTCACATTGCAGGGTGGAAAATCGCACAGAGGTCACACCTCTGCTAATCGCACTGCATGCCATGTTTCATCAAGATCTTGAGGTTGGGGGTTCAATTGCACAAACACAGCTGCACGGTCCCTGTTCAACTTCTGCCCAGGGAATCTTTGCTCCCATAGAACCACCACGGCATACTCCACGCAATGCTCCGGCAAACGCGGAGTCTCTGCAATGGTACACAAAGGATAGTTTACCTGCAAGCGGCTGGAAATTTTCAAACAAATGCAAGTCCTACAAGTCACACACCCTACTGTAAATGTTGCCAATCCAAGTTCGGAAATCTATCTCTCCTTGTCGCATACAACAAATCATCAAAGGGTTATCCAACAAAATCGGAAGCATGTCATGGCGAGTCTGATTGTCAAAGACTGCGTTCAGCCGTTCTCATGTCACTCCATGTATTCGTCTGATGGGCTGATTCGCACCATTCTGTTGTATTCTGTTGCTGCTGATGTCCACAGAATCAATAACTGCATCTGGATATGATCAAGTAACAACTGCGCCGCAGACTGTGCCCCTAAAAAGTGCAAGGATGGAGACTAGAACTGGTTGAAACTCTCCCATTACAAGATGTCATTCCAGTCTTCACGCGAAATGATGGAAAAAGCCCTCCGAAGTCGAATTGAATCTCCAAGAGCTGTGCATCTGATTCTGTCATATTCCATCTGGGCCTGTGGTGGGAAAGCATCCAGTGAACAATCGAAGCACGAGGTCATCGTTGGAATGATCACTCGAGCCTGACCCTTGAAGCCCTCCGTGCCACCATCAATCAGTGGGATGATGGTACCTAAACGTCGATTCCGCACTGGCGATGGAATCCGCAACGCTATGTCACATGCGATGCCGCCACTCACACCACCCAGCACGGCTTAATTGTGTCAAGGAGCTCGGGTCAGGCTCTCCTGAAGTTCTATCAACCATGTCATGAAGCGTGGCATTCATCCATCGTCTCGCCGCGATGTTGTCAAGCCCCGCAATGATAAGGAAGAACTTCCTGTCAATTTGTGCGCATCTAGGCCCATTTTAGGCGCATCTTAGGCGCATGTTCATGCTGGCACCTTAATGGCTTAATGCTTAATGCTTCAATTTGAATGGAGGTCAGAGTTGAATGCAAAAAATACCAGGTCGCTCTTCTGTGTATGTGCTCAGGTTTGGCGTCCTGTAGAAGCTCTCGTCAAAGTCCTGAATCTTCCCAACCTGGTTCAGACTTGCGCGTCCAACGATATTTGTCTGTTTTGAATTGTTTTGATGGCTTTGATCATGGGGCAAACCCACCACTGGCGAGGCAAAAGTCCATACAAAATGAATCAAAATGAACTGACCTCGGTGCAAACAAATCAGAATATTCAGAATAGTGTAAGCGACCAGCAAAGGTAGGTCCAAGGTCTAGAAATCCAAGCAGCGTGTGCCGTGACCTTCGCCCCTAAATGACCCAAACGTTTGTTGATGAAGGCAGCAGCAACCTCCGCTTTGGTCTTGCCAACATCTGCTTGGCGGAAGAGGAACTGCCGATTCAGATTCGTGACATCAATCGTGTCCATGTCAATGACGTGAATATCCTGCCAGCGAGAAATCCAGTCCTAGATATTGGTTTCTGGGCAGCTTCTCTTGTCATTCGTTTCAAACTACACAGGTGCATCCAAGGATCCATGAAACCAGACAAGGCCAAATCTTTCAGAATTTCGCAGCCCAAGCCACCAGCACCAATGACTAGGACCTTGTTGTCGCGCAAAAAGGCGATGGTCTCAGGCCCAGGATCAAAGGCATCTGCGTCAGCGAAGGGACTTTTCCGCATCAGCACCCGACAGACGTGGCCGTGCTTCTGGCTGCCCAGCGACATGGCCGTGGCGCTGGCCGTGCTGGCCGTGCTGGCCGTGCTGGCCGTGCTGGCACGCTGGCCGTAGCCCCCTCTGATGACTTGAACTTTTGACTCCCTGTGATTTGAACGTTTTGAGCCGCAGAGCGGAACAAGAGGCAAGGTCGGGCAACGTCGGGCAACGTTACACGTGAGAAGCATGTTCAATCAGCTTGCCTTTCAGGGGGATCTCATTGCACGGGCAAGCCCGACAAGCTTGGCCTGTAGGATCATGGATTATGTAAAACAAAAACCTACATGAAATATGTTTGCCCCAGTTGATCCAACTCTAACATGTTGAAAAACATGGAAAAAAGTGACCCGCCTACGACACCAAATTATCACATAGTCTTTTATAGCAGCAACCGAACATTCTGCCAACCGAACACAGTCAGAGCCTCCTTCCGCTCCAGTTTAGACAAGGAGCGCATGCTGGACTGTGGCACTCAGACTCATGATTTCCTTGGCATGGCCCGAGATGCATGTACTGCAGGTATGGTGATGCAAAATACGGTGGCCATTGCGCTTTGGGAGGCTTTGGAATGCCATATGTAACATATGTACCAGTAAGGTCTGGCCATAAGGTCTGGCCACAACCTACCCACCAGGGTCTTGATATGCTCCAAATACTGTGGCTTCTCTGTGTGGTTTGGACTTTTTAAGTATAATTTAGAGATATGTAGAGCCACAATGGCATCCAAATGCAGGAGGTGCACCTGGCGAGACCATGTAGGGCATGGTTGCAGTCAGATTTTGAAG